AGAAAAAAAAAACAGCAAAACTGATAATGCAATGAAAAAGACAAAAATATATGCAATATATAACACTTATGTATCTCTCACCTCCATGAAGGGGTAGGTGGGGATGTTGTCTCATATCTCTTCAATGAATCCTGCTTAATCTTTTCTTTATCATTTTGTTACATTGACATTTCATTTTTTTGGTGTGTCTTGTTTTTTCTTCATATACATTGTTGTAGTTGCTATCTGTATTGTTTTCTTGACCCTACTTACTTCATTCTGTATCACTTCATATAGATCTTTCCATGATATTCTGTATTCATTACACATGTCATTTCTTAAAACACAGTAATATTTCATTGCATTCATGTACCACAATTTGTTAAGTCATTCACCAATTGATAGGCATCTATTTTGTTTCTAATTCTTAGCTAACATGCCCATACACACAAACACCCACCCACCCATCACTATAAGTATTTTGGAGCATAGGAAGACATTCTTCTTATGGACTGCTTCCTTGAAATATCAGCCTAGTAATGGAATTTCTGGTTCAAAGGATATGAATATTTTAGTTGCTTTATTTACATAATTCCAAATTACTTTCCAAGATGGTTGTGCCACTTCAGAGTTTAACCAAAAATGTATTAGTGTATCTACCATTCAACTATTCCTTCAAGATTGACTGACAATTGTTTTGGTCATTTTTGCCAATTTTCATGATGTGAAGTGAAATTTCAGGATTTTTCTAATTTTCATTTTACTAATTTATTATTTTGAACATTCTTTTATTTGGCTATGAATTCTCTTCAATTCTTTTGAGAACTGTTTACTCATATCCTTTGAACCATTATCTTTTGGGAAATGGATATTGGACTTCTTTCTATATGTTTACTAATAGTTGATATATCTTGGATAGCAAACTCTTATCAAAGAAATTTGATACAAAGGTGCATTGATTTTGTCTGCTGAGAAGCTTTGTCATTTAAAGTGATTGATATTATCTTTTTTATCTGTTGTATTTGCCTGTATCTCTTCCACATTCACTTCCACAAAATTTTGAGTTCCAAATTTTCTCCCCATTTCATTCTTCCCCCACCCCAAGATGGCATGCATTCTCAATACCCTTTTCCCTAATCTTCCCTCACTCCTATCTCTCCCTCCCTTCTTTTATCCCATTCGCCTTTTATTTTCCTGTAGGGCAGGATAGATTTCTATACCCCATTTCCTGTACATTTTATTTCCCAGTTGCATGTGAAAACAATTTTTTTTAACATTTGTTTTTAAAACTTTAGTTTCCAAATTTTCTCCCTTCCTCCCTCCCTACCCATCCTCATTGAGAAGGCAAGCAACTTGATACAGTTTATGCATGTGTGGTCATGCAAAAAACTTCCATAGTAGTCATGTTGTAAAAAACTAAATCCCCAAGTCTATTTCAATTTTTTTATTGTTTTATAATCTATAAAGGATTTATTAATTGTTTCTGCATTTTTACTTTTGTTTACAGTATGATTTGAGCTCAGATTTGCAGAGTAGGTATATCTGGGCTGCATCCTGAGCTCCATTGTTCTTCAGAATATATTATTCCATTCCCTCCTAACTTTTCTGGTGGGTGCAAAATTTGTATTATTTGAATTTTCTTCTCTTTGTATTTGAAGGTCTTTCTCTGGGTCACTTGCAGTATTTGTTATTTTGGATAGGAACTATTAAATTTAACTACTATATATATTAGAGTTTACAGGCTTGCTTTTTTCCCACTAGATGCAATCTGTGAATTATTTAAATTTGTATTTAATTTTCTATGTTAAGAAGTTCTGAGCAATTCTATTTTGTTATTTTCTTCATTACAGTATTAAGATCTTTTGTCCTTTTGTGTTCTGGGAGATCTATAATTCTTAGGTTGTGTGTATGCATTCTGCCTTCAATAATTAGTAAGTTTTGCTTGCATTTTGGGCATATTTTCTTTTAATATTTTTTTTCTTCTTCTAGATCAGACCTGCACAACTTGGCAGTAGATAGGGGCCAAAATTAAAACAGGCTAACCTTCTTCAGGTTGCAGATAGGTTAGACTAGAGACAGACTAACAATGGTTTGTTGCTTCAGGTCACATAGCAAACAGAAGAGAGTGTGTAGTGGCAACCGTGCATTTTTTGCAGGCTTCCCAAAATCCTTTGTCAGGCTGCAAGCATCCTGCACACCGTATGGTGTGTAGGCTTCTTCTAGATTGTCCTTGATTCTGTGTATTTGCATTCCCTATCGATTGTTTTTTCTTTTATTTCTTTGACGAGAATTTCCACCACAGATTCCAGTTTTTTCTATTCTTCTCAGTATTTTTGCTTTGCTAGACATAAATTTTCCTCTCATAATTCTTATTTCTCTTTTGAATCACTCAGGAACAGTGTGTTGTGGTTCCAAGTTTTTCTCACATTCCAGAGTCTGTTATTGTTTTTCTTGTTGATATTTCTGTTATATTCAAGTTCTTTTAGTTTTCTTGTTCCTGAAATTGTTAGTGATTTCAGTCTCTCTCCACCCCTCCTGCTTCAATCCCAGGATTGTTTACTTCCTGACTCTTTCCCCTCTGATGGTGGTTTCTTTGGGGGCTAGGCCTCAGTGTCTCAGACTTCTCCTATATTGGACAGTTCACAGTTTTCCAGCCTAGGTCTCTCCCCTGAAGTGACTTTTGCGGGGTCAGAAGAGGCTCCAGCTCTTCTCTTTCTCTCAAACTTATTGGAGTTCTGTTCCCCTTTGCCTCTCCACCACAAGATGTCCTGTCCAATTCTCAGTTTCTTAGTTCTCTGGCCTGTCACCTGCAGTTCAGAGAGCTTTCACTCTGGTGCTAGTGGGTTGTCATCCCCAGCAGCAGCAGTTCAGAATTTTGCAGCGTAGCCACCAGCAGACTTTTGCTCCTAAAAAACTGGGGCTACACTGGCTACCTGTCATGGCTTTGGGAAACTTCTGAAGCTCCGAGCTTGAGCCTTGACAACGTGGGGAAAAGGAAGGATGAACCAAGGTGTGGTCTTGGGCTTTTTTGTCCTTTCTTGGGTTTGCTAGTGCAGCTTCTCTTCCACTAGCATGGGAGGTGTGCTGAGTGAGCTCAGAGTCAGTGAGCATCAGATCATAGGCTTTTCGGGGCTTTTTTTTAAAACTTCTTTTGGATTCTGGTTGTTCTAGACCATGGAGACAGCTGAAATTACCTTATCTGTGGTGTATAATTTCTGTTTTGGAGAGACCTAAGAGGTCATGAGAATTAGAGGAAATATCTAGTCATCAATTTCATTCATGTGACCCAGAAGTCCATGAACTGATTATTAAGGTAAACAGACATAGGAAAATTACTGTTACTAAATTTTGAAATGCTCTTGGATCTCAAGGTTTTCTTATCTATTTTATATCAGTGTGTGCATATTATTTCATCAAAAGAACTTCAGATAATTTATCTCATATATATGGGGAGGAGGGATTATTATTTGGAAATAATATTTTTTTCACTTCTTCCAAATCCTAGATCATATCTTTTGCTTGTGAAGTTTCCCAGATATTTCTGGGCATACAAGATCTCCTCCACAATGAAAAACAAACAAAAGAGCAAAGAATACTTTGTTGAATGAATGAATGTCTAGAGAAATGTGCAAAAATTTTATAGTGCATTTGTGTGTGTGTGTGTGTGTGTGTGTGTGTGTGTGTGTCTTTTCCTGGGGAAGATTTTGATATGTTTTTCCAAGTGTGAGAGCTATTCTGTCTTGACATGTGTTGAAGCCATGGCTATTTCTACCTTCCTATCCTGAAAGGCAGAATCAAATCAGTGAGTATGAGATGCTGGGGTTAGATCATGATTCACTTTTCATAAAGGAAAAGGGAAAAACATCACTTTATAGTATATAGAGAAAAATTTTGGAGTCAGAGAGCAGCAAAATCTTGTTTCTGATGTGTGGAATGAATACTAGCTCTAAAGTCAGAAGATCTGGATTCAAATATTGCCTCTGGCACTTCCTACCAGTGCGACCTTGGGCAAGATGCTTATCCTCTCTCAGCTTACTCACATGCAAAATGAGAGGGCTAAACACCAATCCAAATAGATGATCTCTGAATTCCCTTCCAGTTCTCTATCTGTGATCATATGTCATAGTCTAACTCTGTGACCATGGGCAAGTCTTGACATTGACATCAGACGCAACATTCTAAATTGCACACAAATTGCTGATTTTCCATCTTTGTTAAAGAATGCTTCCTTTATTGATGAAATCACATGTCTGGATCACACATGAAACCTCCAAAACTCTCCCTAGGGAAGAAAGGAAAGAAGGAAGGTAGGCAAGAAGGAAGGAAGGAAGAAAAGAAAGGAGGAATGAAAGAAGGATGAAGGAAGAAAAGGAAGGAAGAAAGAAGGGAGAGATGAAAGGAGGAAAGAAGGGAGAAAGGAAGGAACAAAAGAAAGAATGAAGGAAGAGAGAGAGAAGGAAAGGGAGGGAGGAAGGAGAAGGAGGAAGGAAAGAAGTAAGAGAAAGAGACTGGGAGTGAGATGGAAGGGAGAGATAGAGAGCAAAAGTAGAAAGTAGAGAAAGACCTAGGAGAGTCAAGAGTAGTATTTTCTCAATCACTTTGGAACTGGGTTTCTATTGGGAGAAGCAGAGCCAATGTCATTAATACTGCGAGGACTGTGAGGATTTGAATGATGTTTATCTTTCACCTGTAATAGTTTGACGTAATGGATGGAGGGCCAATCTCTGAGTCAAAATAATCTGAAGGTACCGGCTATGTAATCATGGACAATTAACTCCTCATTTCAAGGAAATAATTCTCTAAGACAACAAATTGTAGATTAGTTGATCTGCATTTGTAGAGAGAGTTCACTAAAAAGTAAATCTGGACCAGGAAAAAACAAACAAACAAACAAACAAAAAATATCCTTAAACTGAGAAGGAATGCAGTTTGCAGAAGAAACTGGAAAGCAAAAATAAAAACTGTGGTCACATGGCTCATGGCTGGGCTGACCATGCTTTTTTTTTTCACTCTAATTTCAGGGATGGTTTCTAGAGATCTCAACCGTGCCCATTATGTACTCAGCTCCCTTGGGGTCCGTGGAGGGCTCCCTCGGAATGAAATCACATTTGCAGCCACCCTAAAGAAGCATGGTTATAGCACAGCACTGATAGGTATGTGGAAATCACTTTCAAAATTGCTTTTCCTTCCCATTTCTTCTCTCCTTCCCCCCATCTCTCCCAAAAATGTTATAAGAAGTATGAAACTTTGTAATACTGTCAGGGTGTACATTTGAGGGAAGACCATTTATTTTAAAAGAGTTGATTGACATTAATGAATTGAGAAATCGAAAATAGCTATTCAACTTAGCTAGGAGTTTGGAATTGTATAATCAGATGTGTAATATTGGCATATAATTAAACGTTTCTTTGTGTTCTTTTAGTGTGACATTAAAAATACTGAAAGTACTCACATACAACTGAGATCTCATCATTGTAGCTATTCCCTCTGTCTATGCAAGTCTTAAATCATCCATGCCTTCCCACCCTGGGCAACCATTGTTGTTGTTCTTTCATCAGTTTGATTCAGAAGCTTTCCTCAATATCCTGGTGGCATTTCTCACTTTATCCTGGCATCTGACTATACCAGTGGAATTCATTACTGGTTGATTGAATGATGTGCTTGACAATGACTATCCCACACTTTTGCTACACAAGAATGTCTCCAAGGAGCTGGCCTTCCTGCTCATGACAATCAGAAACTGGGATAAGATCATCCCTCTCTCTTACACACACACACACACACACACACACACACACACACATATACACACAATCTCTCTTACCAACACCAGTATTTAATGTATTCCCAGAGCCACCCTAGCTCTTCCCATTCTATCTCTCCCATACTGTCATAGGAGAAAATTTTTTTTGTTTAATTTCCAATGAAATTTTACCTTTATGAAAATATAAGGGATTGAGGAATTAGAGCTGAAAGGGAATCCAGACATCAGCTAGTCCAATGCCTTCATTTTACAGGTTAATAAATTGAGGTTCAGAGAGGCTCAATGGCTCATCTAAGGTTATCCGGCACATTAGTGGCAAAATGAGAGTTAAATAAAGGTTTCCTGACTCCCAGTTCATCGGGCTTTTCACTATATCACACTATTATTCACAGACTCTTAGAAAAGAAAACCATTCCAGCTGTGCTGTGATTTTAATTTACTCTCTACCTTGCCTCATCTTTCACAACATATTTTGGATACAGCCATAAAGATGTATGAGATACCTGTAATTGAGTTTCTTGTCTATCACCTGGCTAATACCTATCTGTTTAGGAATAAGTATAGGAACAAGTGCATACAAGTATATCAACACATGCAACTTGCATTCTTACAACACATTTTAAGTAGCATTTCAATATCATTTTTTTCTTATTTAAAAAAACAAAACAAAACAAAACCCTGTGAACTAGAAATGACAATGTAATCTCTGATTTAACAAAAAAGGAAACAAAAAGAAAATGAAGCTAACAATGAGCAACTCTGAACAACTCAGTTACCTTTGAGAAACAAAGCAATCTTTGAGGAGTAGGAGATGAAAACTACTTGGGAAAACCAAAGACCTTGGTTCAAGTCCCAACTTGTGTGAATTTGATGAGAAATTTCTTAACTCTGGGCTTAAGATTTTTCATTTGTGAAATTAGGATGGGTGGGCTACACAGTCTCTAAGTTCTCTTTCCGGTCTATCATTATATGACTCTGTAGGAAATGAAGACATTTACTTCATATGGCAAGTGAATAGAGGAAGAACTGGAATTCTTGTCTCCTAATTCTAGTTGAAGCTCTATCCTTACCTTCTGTGTATTTTTTTTTGACAATTTCCTGAAGTTCTCTGTGCCTTTGTTCATCTCTCATGAGAGGCCCCCAGGATAATTACCTCAAGTTTAAGTTATTGTGTGGCCCTGCACCCACTGAAAATAATAGCTCAAAAATTCCCATTGATATACTTAAATGTCTCTACTCAGTCAGATGACATAACTATTTCACTAAAAAGGCATAGCAAAAATAGAATGGGTATAATCTTTGTAATAAATTATAATTTTAGCTAATATTGTATTTAGGATTTTTACAGCTACATTCATTAATGAAATTGGTCTATAATTTACATGACAACTTTATTATATATTTGAAAGGAAAAGCAAGTTGTACATGACAGTTTCGCAGTTTCATGTATAATTATCTTTTTCTTTTTATGCTACCATGTAATGGAAATACTTGTTTTGTTAAGTTCAGAATGAAATAAATGCAATTTTTAAAAAATAAAAGAAATGACATAATAGAGATTGTCCCCGTATACTTAGGGCATACTGTTCCACAAATATAAACATGATAAGTCGTGATATGGAACATGCATAGGGTTCATCAATGAGGAATATACACATAGGGAACTTATGTATCTAGGACATATATGCTGAGAGACAACTCACTCTTCTGGTATTGCTGTTGCACAGCTCTCACTGAGCCTGCTTCCTACTAAGTGTAGAATTTTACTTCCCTGCTCCTTGTTGGTCTTTTGGTGGCTGCTGGTGGACACTGATAATGTAAACCTGATTAAGTATTGCTCACTGGCAATAGTGGGTGTTTATTCCACCAGTCTCATTCTCATGGTTTCTACTGGGAATTGTTCCCTGCTACCAGCTTTTTGGCTTTATCTCTCTAGGACTGCCAGATATCTCATGTCAAGTTTATTTATTAGCATAGGTTCTCAGTTAGGACCTCTCTTAAAAGCCTCACAGCTTTTTGGTCATAGCCTGCCATATCCAGCTAACAAAAGGCTGACAGGGTACCCTCAGGCTAAGATTATGTCTACCTCCTCAAAGAAAGATGTTTCCCCAAAGTCTTCTCTGGTTTAGCATGCAAATTAATGTAATACAAAATAAGAAACTATGGAGTGTTCTCTACTCGCTTCTCCATCATTCTTGTTCTTATGTTTGTGAGCAGCAAAATCCTTATTGCTTTGGCGAATAATTTTGGCCAGACAAGTATAACTCTCATTGCATACTAATATTTGAAATAAGGATAACAAAATTTCTCTAATCACCTCACTAGGATTTATGGAGCAATTTATGTCAGAATAGCTGTATTCATTAATAAATAGTGTGATTGAAAGGTCCTAGGAATTTATAAATTTATAAATTATTTATAAATTTATAAATTTATAAATACTATCATATCCAATTAGCAAAAGTCAGGCAGAGTACTTCCAGGCTAAGATTAAATTTTTTCTTTTGAATTCTGAACTGTATAAACAACTATACCTTACTTATGAGACATTCCCAAGATCCTCTCTCCTTTTCATACAAATACATTTAAGCCACAGCAAAAGATAAGCTAAGGTGCTTCAGATGTTCTAGTATGCAGATGACAGTGCACTGATTCTATCAAGTTACTGGATATTGTAGAGGCTTCAGGAAGAGATCTATAATCACTTAAAGAAGTTTGGCTTTTCCATCAGCACAGAAAAGACCAAGTATATGAAGAATTACTATTGTATAGATCAGCAAACATTTGAATTGATACTTGCCCAAAGGTATTTATATCAACACACAATATAGATGCCAATGAGCTGATCCTAGTGGTGAAAAGTAGTAGGAAAGGAGGCTAAATTGTTTTCATAAAGTTGTAAAGCTCTTTCACTGACTCCATGTTTCACACAAGACTGAAGAATCATCTCATCAATAAGTACCATTTTATGATTGCCACATAATGGCACACAACATGGAATATGAATGCCCTTAATGAACCTAAAGATGAGAATTATGGAAAAGATAATTAAAAGGTACGTGGTGGCAAAGAGTGGGCTTCAACATATAACCAATAAAGAACACCATCAAGGAATGGAATGAAAGGATGAAAAGATGAGTTGACCACATGGTGAGAGGTAGGAGATAGCAGAGCATTCTATTTGCACCTTCACAATATCTGGAGGAAGTAAAGAAGGCCTCCAATATGTTGAAGTGACTTCTTAAGTTGAACATTTGGAAGAACGCGGAGAAGAGTTATACAAGATGGACATGCCTGGTCAGGTTCTGATCTACATCATTGAAGGGTACTCCGAAATAGAAGAGCTAGCAAATCCTCAGTATATAAATAAAACTACATCTTGACAAGGTCATTTCCATTTCCAATTGTGTTATTCCTCAAAGACAACTTTTAAATAACTTTTTGACAATTTTATTGGAAATACACTGCAATCTACTCATGCTAGCCATGCATGTGTCCATTGTCTTGTGGAATATGTGCTGTTTTAATTCTTATTTAAACCAACAATTATTTGCTAAGCTTCTAATATGTAACAGGTACTGGGGATATAATAGGTACAGACATAAAAATGAAAACACCCCCTGCCTCCACAGAACTCATATTCTATTGAAATCCTTGATCCTGTGCTATTCACCAAGGATTTTAAATAATTGTTAATAAGAAATTGCCATTTACATGGTTCTTAAGGTTTGCAAAATACTTTATATGCCTTCTATTGAACCCTCTTTCCACTGCTATACCAAAAATGTATCCATTCTGCTAATTGGAAAATAACCCTCCCCCCAAAAAAACAAAACAAAAAAACTCCAGGACAAAGCACTGTGCAAGGAATGAATCTATTGAAGAAAAGCTTTTTCAGGGAGGAAAATCACTTTGCATATATTCAATTCAATAGACATTTATTCAATGCCTATTATATACCTAAGCATATGTCTTTAGATGACTTCTTATTTTTCTATTTGGTTTTCAAGAACAGGAAGACTCACCAAAAATATCTTTAATACAGTATAAGGTAATATTTTCTCTTTTCTATTTTTACTTTCAGGTAAATGGCATCAAGGTTTAAATTGTAAATACCGAAATGACCACTGCCATCATCCTAACCACTATGGCTTTGACTATTTCTATGGCGAGCCACACACACTTGCATCTCCTTGTAAGCGAATGCCTACCCGTGACACAGAATTAGCCATAGAAAGTAGACTTTGGTTTTGCATGGAGCTACTCATCATTGCTGTGCTTACACTGACTGTGGGGAAACTAACTCATTTGGTCTCCATACCCTGGTTGTTTATTATCAGCATTATTTTCTTTGGCTTCCTGGTGGCCTTTTTTTGGTTCTTCAGTTTTCAAAATTCTGTGTTTTGGAATTGTATTCTCATGAGACAACAGGAAATTACAGAGCAACCCATGAAGGCAGAACGATCTGGCTTCATTATGATGAATGAGGCAGTTTCTTTTATCAAAAGGTAACAATTAAATTTTCTTTAGAGGCCTCTTTCCTTGGTCCTGTTTTCACTCTTGTTTTAATTTAGATGCCTTATTACAATGAATGTTTTACTTTGACTTGTACAAAGTTTTGACTTTGATTTTGAACTCAATGACTCCCTTGGCTGTGACAGTGAAATGGCTTTGTGGTCCTGTACAAAGGGCACTGGATTTTTTGTTGATTTCAGAATTAATTAAATCAAAATTAATCTTTGAGCTCTAACTCTAAGGTCCTCTAACATACAACAAACATTTACAATAGTAATAGTTATTTATATGATGCTTTAAAGTTTATGTAATTTTATATACCTCACAACAACCTTGTGAGAGGGACTGCTATTGACATACTCATTTGATAAATCAGGAAATTGAGGATCAGAAAGGTTAAGTGACTAGGGTCGGGTCACATAACTAGTAGACATTTAAGGCAACGTTTGTTCTTGATGACCAGTCCAGCAGTATTCCCTGCCTCTCAAGTTATTGAAGAGCAACTCTGCATTGCTCTGTGGCAAGCACTATAGGAGATACAACGGAGGATATTTATTTTTCCTGTGTGTGGGGCAGGGAGCAGTTAGGGAGAGGTCCATGATGGTGGTGGCATATGGTCCAGTCCTTGAAAAAAGGCTAAAAATTGGAGGAAGGAGCTTTAAGTAAAAGTATTCCAGAATTAGGAAATCAGAGGATATCAGAAATTACATTGAAAATACCTAATCTTTCATGTTCTTGATTAGTAGTGACAAAAATTAGCAATATTTTCTTAGGAGTTTTCCGACAGAAAGTTATTTTAATTCTCTGGGGAAACATTAAAAACAGATATAATCTCTTCCAGTGATTAGTCATTATGCAATTTGGCTTACAAAACAGAACTTTGAGGCCCAACTCAAACGTGGGAGCTGAACAGCAATTTGGAGAAGGAAAAATAAGAAAGAAAAGTGAGGGAAAAGGGGAAATTAGCACTGTTGAACAGTTTACTACTACTGATAAGTTAAGTAGCAAAACTAAAATGAACAATCATGCCCCACTCTCTATTTCCCCCCAAAAAAAAGATGGAAAAATCAGTCACTCTTCAACCCCAACCATTTAGGTAAATTGTTCTCTTTGTATATGAGTTACAAGGAACTAGTCCAACAGGCTCATGGTGGTAAAAAATACTTATGTAACCCAGTAAAGAATAGCTTAGTTTCACTTTAATCTAGTTAAGAGTTTATTATTCAGAAATTTCATAGAAAGTTACCATGACTTCAGAAAACCAAACTAAGGAAAGCAGCAATCTCATCATGAAGTCTGACTTTGCACTGGTATTAAGCCTAGGCATGCTACACAGATAGAATTGCGTTTAGGTATATCTTCCCATTTTATTTTTCCATGCCTCTTCACATCCAACCTCATAGATTTCTCCCATAGTTTTTGAGCACCAGTTCTTTCCTCAGTATAGGAATATCGTTATCTTGTAGCTATACAGTGGTCATTGTTGTTGTTTAGTCATTTCAGTAGTGGCTACAGCTTTGTGACCCCATTTGAGGGTTTTTTGGCAAAGATACTGGAGTAGTTTGCTGTTTCCTTCTTCAGCTCATTTTACACATGAGGAAACTGAAGCAAACAGGGTTAAGTAACTTGCCCAGAGTCATACAACTAGTAAGTGTCTGAGCTCAGATTTGAATTCAGGAAGAGCAATCTTTCTGACTCTAGGCCTGACACTCTACCCACCATGCCACCTACCTACCCTTACACACATGTTGGTCATTACCCAGCTCAGTCAGTCAACTAGTATTTATTAAGTGCCTACTATGTGTCAGGAAAGTACTGAGGATAAAAAGAAAGGCAAAAACAAACAAAAACTCCATGGGTTTTGTTCTCAAGCAGCTTCGAGTCTCCTGGGGGAGATAACATGTAAACAACTATGTACAGAAAAGATCTATATCTATATCTATATCTTATCTATATCTATATCTATATCTATGTCTATATAAAGACATATTATATAGAGTCTGAGACACACATACATGTGTATACATGTGTATTTCTTATATATAAAATATATATAGTATGAATATACATATATACATATACATGCTATATGTATGATCTCTATATGAAATATATATATTTATATATACATATATATAATTTGTATGTGTGTGTTGTGTTGTGTGTGTGTGTGTGTGTGTGTGTGTGTGTGTGTGTAATTGGGCGCAGCCTCAGAGGGACAGCCCTAAGATTAATTAATTTGCTTTTTCTAACTCTTGTTAGTCCAAGTTCTTACAGAAAATTCTGAGAGAATTCTGATAATTACAAGAGAATCCTCTGGATCATAGATTCAGAGTTAGACAGTACCTTTAGACCAATGGTCTAAATGACTTCATTCTCTAATTGAGGGAAACTGAGACCCAGAAAAGTTAAATGAGTTACCCAAACTCACACATTAGTAGGTTGCAGAGGTGAATATGAACCCAGGTACTCAGGGTCTAAATCTTTGTCTTAATTATCAGTTTGTATCCAATTTCTCATTTTACTGAGTCACCATTTTTCAATATTTCAAGGTTTTATTAATGCCTTTTGTACTCATATCACTGTACTGTTTGGATGGACTCTCCCTCTTCTAACTATAACCTCCCAGCACTTGCCTGCTTTCTTGTGTCTGAGTGACCATTTTAAAAAATGAACATTTTTCTGGTTGCATAGTAGTATAAACACTTGGTATTCATTAAACTGAAAATATCTAACATTATATAATTGACTTGTTTACTCCAGAAATCTCCAAGAGAATTTGAATGTAAACCTTTAGTATTTTCACATTAGTTATAATTCTGTCTCTTCAAAACCAGTTTCATGGAAGAAATAAAACAAACCAAAACCTTATATAGCTACTACATCTTTACAACAACACTTTTATCCTAACCCTTTTAAAAATTTCAAAGTATAGTCATTGCAGAAAGTTTGATAGTTTCTAGGACAGATTAATGGAGGAATTGAGGAAACATTCTTTGACAGTGTTTTCTTTCCTATATTTTTATCCAAACATTTTTAGCTCTTGGTTGAATTATTATTTTAGAGAAGGAGGTTGGGATGGTGGGGAGAGTCTAATATTTAGATCAGAAAAACCTGAAATAACAATCTCACCTCAGACTCTTTCTTGCTCCACGACCAAGGGCAAGGCACTTAAGCTCTGTTTCCTCATGTGTAAAATTTGGATGAGAATAACTTTAATAGCCTAGAGACATAGGCATGTCAAGAATGCCTTTGGTAGACTGCCCACATTCTGCCTCTGAAGAAGAAGGGAGAATCAATAGGAATGGTCTGGATGGTGTGCTAGTATACACTTCTAGGTTTGTCTGTTCTCCTAAGGGTTGTTGTGAGGTTCAATTAAGATAATGTATGCAAATCACTTTGCAAAGCTTAAAGTCTCTATTGATATCATTATCATCATCTTCATTTTTATGATTATGCATCAATGAAAAGAACAATTTGTAAAGAGATTTTTATTAATAATTGTCTGTAAGCTTTAAATAGAGGCTTTCCCCTAAGTTTTCTGGGTTTCTATGGAATGTGTTGATCAATAGTCTTTTCCTTAATTTTTTCATATAGGACTTTATTGTAATTATATGGGGGACACCAAGAATAATATAATAGATATGAAGATAAGGAAAAATTTATATTATCATATTAATTATATTATTGCAATTTCATAATATATAACATTATATTAATCTGTGTGTAGTTAAATTTTTAATCTCATGCAAAATCCCATTTGTTTCTGTCTTTCTAGAAACAAAGACAGACCTTTCCTCCTGTTTTATTCTCTTTTACATGTCCATGTACCTCTTCCCACATCTAATGAGTTTATTGGAATTAGCAAGCATAGCTTTTATGGAGACTATGTAGAAGAGATGGACTTTCTGGTGGGTAAGTGAAAGAACCTATTCCTATTACACAACATGTAGATGTCTGAGACATAATTATGATGCTTCCCTTCAGCAGTCAGTCAGCTTCCTCTTTGTACCTTGTTGCCTTGGAAAGGCCTCCTTTTCCCTGTCATTCCTTTGTTCTCAGCATCTTACTCCTCTCTCTTTCCTTTGTTCACATTAGGGAGACACTGAGCAGCCTTCTGAGGATTTGGAAATATTGGTTGTAATTATAGGGAATTCATAATAGCAAAAGACACTTTGCATCTCACACTGCTACCCTGACTTTTGGGTTGTATTAGTAGACGAAAAGAGAAGACACGTATATTGTTCTCCATCGTCACTGACTGGTAGAGCTATAAATTAGCATGAGAGGAGATATGAAACGTAATAAAAATTCTAATTAATGGGCCTGAAAGTGATGGAGAATTCACTCAATCAATAATAATTATGGAAAGAGGTCTTCATTAGTATGATCTTGCTTCCCATTGCCAGATCTTTTCATACCATTTTACTGTCTTAAGTTACTGAGGGCTTCCTTTTTTTGAAACAGGACCAGGATGTGTGAGCCCCCTTAGTTTCCAATGTTTCCTTGAGTCCTCACTTATAAAAACTGATTTTTCCTATTTCTTATTCCTTATATATTAGAAACCCCACTAGCTTTTTAATAATATAGAAAAATGACTAAAATCACTCATGTTGCATAGGGAAGATATCATTTATCTATCATCCATCCATCTATCTATCCATCTATCTATCTATCTATCATCTCCCTATTGGTGTGCTGTGGTTAGTGTTTAACAACTGGTTTAAAATACATGCACAATTATCTTTCATCTATTTAAGGATTTGTTGGCAAATAGCATTAGAAAAAAGGGGGCAAGTGGATAGAGAGTTGAATTGAGAATCAGAAAGACCTGGGTTCAAGTACTGTCTCTGACACATTCAGGCTGTGTGACCTTGGGCAAGTTACTTAATGTCTCAGTTACTTAATGTCCCAGGTAACATTAAGACTATAAATTGAAAAGCAGGTAAGCTGGTATATTGGCAGGAGGAATTTCCTTCCTAGGATTTCTCTAAACTAATACAATCATACAACTGTCAAAAAAACCCCCAACAACTCTATAAATTGGAATTTATACTTTGAAAGGAATGAATAATCTAAGCATAATGGATGGTGCAGCTTGCTTGGGTGATGCCACTACTCCATATAAAGGACCCTTGGTAGCTGTTTCAGAAGAATTGTGTTGACATGTAAGTGAATTGCATTAGACAGATTATGGAATACGTGGAGAGCACTCTGTGACTAAATCTTGTGAGCTAACCACATGGAGCAGTTGTATCAGTTTAGCAATCTGAGGGGTTTGTAAATGTGTTAGATCATCATAATATAATAATGATATTTTATAGGATATCATGCAGGTCCTGCATAACATTATCTTTATCTCACATCAAATTGTGTATTGCATATCTATATTTGTCTTACAGTAGTTTCTATAAAATGTGACTTTACAGGTTCAACATTAGGTTCATTTTCTGTCACTTGATAATTGAGATGGCTTTTGCAAATCATTTTCTTTTATAGAAATATTAGTTATTCATATGGTAATCAATCAATCAATAAACATTTATTAAGCATCTACTATGTGTCAGCACTGTGCTTAGTGCCGGGGATACAAAAAGGGACAAAAGATAATCCCTGTCTTCAAGGAGTTTACAATCTAAGAGCGGATGATATGCAAACAACTATTTACAAAGTGAGCTATATACAAGATAAATAGGACATAATTAAAAGAAGGAAAGTACTCATATACATGATTCTTTTTATACTTTTACAAAATATTAGATAATAATAATAAAAATACTAAAAGCTTTATAATTTATGGATAACACCAATTACATTTGCACTTTTTTTCTCTTGAAGGCAAAGTTCTTGATACCATTGATGCAGATGGCTTGACAAACAACACAATTGTGTACTTCACCTCAGACCATGGAGGGCATCTGGAGGCCATGAGAGGAAGGGTTCATGTAGGGGGCTACAATGGAATATATAAAGGTAAGAAGAGTGAAGAGTGTTGGAGGGTTGTTTTAGGCTTAAGCTCTGTGATGCTATGTTCTGCTTGGTCTATAACATAAGAAGATATTAAAGCAAGGTGACCCAAATCAGCTAATGTTGCTATGAAAAAAAAAATCTTACTTGTAGAATTTTGGAGGGGTTGGTTATAAGGAAGTTTTTCTGACCTGTTCTTATAGATGAATAAAGGACAAGCACACACTTATCTATAAAAGAGCTTTTTTTGGTGTAGACATTTCTTTTCATTCTTATACTTTAGGAAATGTTGAAGATAAAGAGTATGTAGGAAGGAGGATCAGAAGCAGGAAGAAGGGAAAAAAGTGAAAGGAATCAGTAGGGATGACTTCTGCAGATGCCTCTAGTGATTAGGTGTAATCCTTGACCTAGTTTCTAGTGAGAGTAGGAAAATCAGAGCCCTGGAAAGGGAACATTGAGTAGGAGAGAGAAAATGGCTAACTTGATTTTAACTGCTGGAGTCATGCACATTGGATGTCATGTTATTGTTAACTATTGTTGTTGTTGTATTTTAAGGAAAAATCCTTGATATTTGATGTCAATGGCTTGGAAACAGCACACTCATCCACCCCTTCCTTTCCTATCTCCTTGTAGGATTTTATTTATTAGTAAAGTTTACGACCCTTAAGGGGTCACATTTCAACAGCACTTTTTCAATAGCACTTTTCTCAGAAGAGCCCTGTGAACATTATTAGTGCTATTTGATAGAGATGAGGAAACTGGGACTCTGAGAGGTTAGATGACTGGTCTGTGAACTATGGCACAGCTAGTCTTAGCCATTCAACGAGTGTTAAGTGCCATGTACCTTGCTAAACATTAAGGATACAAAGAAAGGCAAAAACTTTTCTGGTTCCAAAAGAGCCTTCAGTTTCCTCATCTGTAAAATGGGGATAACAATAATACCTACCTCCCAGTGTTTTTGTGAGGATACAATGAGATATTTGTAAAGAACTTTGTAAAAATTAAATATTAGCTGTTAGTATATTATATATATATACACATACATATAAACATATATGATATTATATGACACTAACAACAATGACAATAATAATAAGACAGGCCTTCTGCTTAAGGTGAGTCTTCAGCTAGAATTCCCAATTGTGGGCTGCAGAGTCCTAGTGTAGCACTCTTTTTTTCTTTTTTGTGAGGCAATCAGGGTTAAGTGACTTGACCAGGGTCATGCCGCTAGTAAGTGTCAAGTGTTTGGTCTGCGGCTGGATTTGAACTCAGGACCTCCTGATTTATGGGCCTCTGCTCTATCCACTGTGCCATCTAGCTGTCCCTGGCAGCATTCCTTAATTACACCACATTAACCCCTTAGTTTGAGATAATATATCAAAATGATAAAATACATTAAAGGTCCTGGGATCTACTGACTCTGTGATACCTATAGCAGCTCACTCAAAAAAAATTCTTAGTATTTCTAAGGTCAGAGATTCAGTCTATATAGTTATTATGGGCTTCTGTCTCTTCTTACTCTGAAACTAGTGGGGACATGTCTTTTCATTTAGTTACACTTGGGTTCTTGCGAGGATAATCCCACTCAGGTACGCTCAGGGAAAAAGTCTCTTTCCCAATCCCACTACCACCAGAGGCCCAATTTTTCTTGCAAGGCCCTATTGCAATGGCTCATCAGTCTCCTCATCACTGGCCTCTCCCTTTTGCAATCCTTTGGACACAGTACTGAAAGCTTAATTATTCTAAGAACTTTTCTGATGATACTAATCCCCAGCTCAAAGACTTTTAATTAGCTGACTGCCAATTTAAATTCAAGTCCATTTTTTGGCATTCAAGCCTCTCCATGTTCTAGCTTTAACCTAACCTTATCCTCCTCCACCCCCCTCCAGCTTCCTTATACTACGTTGGAGCTACACTGGATTAGCAATTGTTTAAATAGGCCTGAGGCATTTCCCACCTCTTCACCTTTATATGCTATTCCTTCTATCTGCCTTTTGAAGTCTTATTCATCTCTAAAAGCCTAAGTCAAAAGCTGCTTCCTTCCTCAGGTACTGATTGTTCTTCATAGCATATGATCTATCCTTCGAAGCCCACTAATCTATGATTTTTATTATACTGTGCCTTGCATTATAGTTATTTGAGCAGTTGTCATATCCTCTTACATGTCAATTTATTTAAACAAAGATTTATTAAGAGTCTCTTATGCGTAAGGAAGGCACTTTGCCAAATTCTGAGAATACAAAGATGAAAAAAAAGCCACATTTTTTGACCTCAAGCAGCTTTCAATCTAATGTGGAATGAGCAGGAATGAAATGTACACAGTTATATTACATCAGAAAATTTAAATACAAGGAAAAGTCAGAGTAGCTTGAGAGTTTCAAGGAAGGAGAGATATTTTAAGTTCCTTAAAATCAGGGACCAAGTCTTATTCACCTTTGTAGCAACTCCAGCACCCAGCAACAAACCACATCATTAAATTGAATAGAAAGAATTATTAAATCAAACTTAATCACTCAGTCAGTAGCATGTAATAAGAGCTCATGATGTGCCAAGAGCTGTGCTAAGCACTGAGAATATAAAGACAAAAGTGAAAAAGTATTTCTCTTCAAAAAACTTACATTCTAAAGGGAGAAACAGCATGTAAACTTATAAATATATGTTAAATATATACAAAATGAATACCAAATGGTTATAGGAGAGAGGGCACTTAGTATAAAGAAAGATAGGGGAAAAAAATAATGAGGAATCACCAGAAATGATGAGGAATAGATGGATGGGTTCTAGTGTCTGAAGGAATTCACTTGGACAGTCTCCAATTTAAAAGAAAGGCATTTTTGGGGTAATGCACCCAAGTGAGCTCTGTTTCCATGTGGGAGAAACAGAGCATAAGCACTGCTCCCCTAAGGGACGCAGAGCAATTGGCTAGGTTAAAGGTCTGGTTTAAATAGAATTTTACGGAATAGAAGGAAGGGGGAACAGGAGAAAGGAAGAGGGGATATCAGGGATGTCAGGTAGTCTAAAGGTACCTTTGTCATACAGATAAGCAAAGAGAATAGGAAAGGGGAGGGGAAGAGTTGTACTGGAATGTCAGGCTAAATTGGGGGTGCCTTGTGAAAGCACACAGTAAGTTCACATTATGAGGCTTCAATGAATAGTCTTCTTGAATCACTTTTCTGGCTGGTCATAACCTGCATCTTATCTCATATCTCACATCCTGTCTCCTTCTTGCTCCATCTGCCTCAAGCACTCCTTTCTGTCTCACTTCACCATGTAGAAGGTGGAACTTGATCTGAAGCTTGAAGAAAATCAGGGATTTCAAGACATTAAAGAAGGAAGTAATGTTCCTACATGTAGGGGGACAGCCAGTGTGAAGGCGCACAAATAAGAAATGGAGTATTGTGTATACAAAACAGCAAAGAGTGCTATATGACCGAATTATAGGGAGGGTGGTAACTGAAAAGGTAGGAAGAGGCCAGATTATGAAAAGTTTTGTGAGAGATGATCTCTCGGAAGTGAAGCCCCCTCAAAGGGTCAATAGCTCTTGTTAATAGTTCTTGATTGTTGCTTTCAAAACCCTCCCTGGCTCAGACCCTGTTTTTAAGTACTTAGCAGAAAGAATAGCCCTATCCCCAACCTGAACTGCTCACTCTTGCAAAAACTTTTCGCCTGTTCTCATCTCCTGGCAAGTTTGTGAAACTGTCTTTGTTCTCTGCTGCTGGGGTAGATTGCCACAAATAAGACTGTACCCTCAGAGCTTGCACCAATGAGCCCTGAGGAAGGGGGCTAGGGAGGAGGGGATTGCGGTTAGGATCTATATAATCTGCTGGGCTGAACACACTTCCGCTCTCTTTGGTCGGCACCATCTTTTGGGTGCTCTGAGGGAGCCCTTTTTCGAGAAAGCCAATAAACGAACTATTCTTTTTTGCTAATATCTCTGAGTCTCCGATTTATTGGTAAAGGTCTTCGTACCCCACGCAGTATCACTTGTCAAAATGAGAAGTTTCCATTTGATCCTGGAGACAAGGAGTCCCTGGAGTTTACTGAGCAGACCTCCACTTTATGAAATTAAATTGGTAGCTCTGTGGGATATGGATTGGAGTGGAGAGAGGTCTGAGGGAAAGGAGAATACATAACAAACTGTTAAAATAGTGCAAATGAGATGTGTTGTAGGTCAGAATTAGGGTGTTAGCTGTGTGATTGGAGAGGAAGGAAAAGGTGAGAAAGATTTTGTAGGCAAGAATTAACATATTTGGGACAAGTGGATATGAGGATTCAAGGAAGACACTGAGACTTTAAACTAGTATGCCTAAAAGGATGGTGGTGCCCTGAGTGGTATTAAAGAAGTTCAGAAGAAGAATGGGTTTTAGAGGGGAAATATTGAATACTGAAGGACATATAATTATCTGTTAGATGTGTTGAGTTTGAGATGCTTCTGAAACACTCAGTGCTAAACATTAAATAACCAATTGGTGATGTGGGATTAGAACCACATATATATATATATATATGTGTGTGTGTGTGTGTGTACATGTATGTATGTATGTATGTATATGTATGTATATGTATGTGTGTGTGTGATAGTAGTTGAGATAATAACAGAAATGTGATTGTCATGGTGATTGAAAGACACTGCAAAGATAAATTGTGTTCTAGATTTCTACAGGAGATATTCATTTCCTTCGACATCTAGGTTGGATCATTGTATGTAAGTTCTTTTCTTCCTTTGGTGGATTCAGATTTGCATAACACAAAACTTTTCAATCATCATACATTGTACCTAACTTTGATTTACACATGCACGCAAGGAAGACTGCATAAAAATATTGATTCTTTTGGTTTTTATTTTTGGTTTTGTATTCTAGCAGTGTCTAATGTTTCCTTTTTCTTTTATTAAGCAGGTGTTTGGTAAATATATGTTGCTTGTTTTCTAACAGGTTTCTTCTCTACTAACAGAAAAACTCAAAGCTCATGCCTTACTAATAACAGAACTGGGTAACCTATATTTTCATATGTCTCCATCTATGAAAGAAAATGAATTTCCTTCCTGAAGTACAGATCTGACCATAGCATACTCCCTTGCCACAGATAAACTCTCTATTACCTCTAAGATCAAATATGAAATTTTCTGGTTTCTAAAGACCTTTATGACCTACCCTCTTCATACCTTTCCAGTCTTGTTATGCTTTACTTACCTCCAAATCCTCTGATTTTGCAAAGCTATTCTTGCTGTTCCTTGCCCAAGATTGTTCATTTTTTCCATTCCTTTTCACTGTCCGTACCTTTTGCCTGGAATACTCTCCCTCCTTACCATCACCAGCTGGTTTCCTTAGCTTCCTTTAAGACTCAACTCAAATCTCAGCTTCTACAAGAGGCCTGTTCTGGTCTTCCCTCACTGCTAGTGACTTCTCTCTGATGTTATTTCCATCTAATCTGTATCTATCTTGTTTGTACAAATTGGTTCACATTTCTCCCCAACTGGAATGTGAGCTCCTTGAAAGCATGGACTGTTTTTGCCCTGTTTTGTATTTCTGACACTTAGTCCAGTGCGAGACACATAGTAAGTACTTAAATACTTGTTGACTGACTGATATTTGGAGATACACACACACATACACATACAAGCCTACATGCATGTATGTATGTATGTATACAGGATGTTCCAAAAGTCTTAACGCTACTTAAGCTTTACAAGCATTCTCACTGCTAAAGATATTTTAGGTGATTATGGTGATTTTTTTTTAACATACAGGTGGGAAAGGAATGGCAGGCTGGGAAGGGGGAATCCGAGTTCCAGGGATGATTAGATGGCCAGGAATATTGACAGCTGGAAAAGTTATTGAGGAACCTACAAGTTTGATGGATATTTACCCAACTCTAGCTGCAGTAGTAGGAGGAACTTTGCCTCAGGATAGGTAAGAAAAAAAATATCTAAAACAAATATGCGTCATTTTTACTTTCTCATAAAAGGAAATAAAAATTTTAAAGTTCAGTTCTCTTCTCAAGGCCTTCTTTGCCAAATATCTTGGTAGTTTTCTCTTTGTACATGATTGTATCTATTGATTGCATAGACAGACAATATATCTGATTCCACCAACACAAGGCAGCTTTGCATAAATAGATCTTGATTCATTAATTGTGTTTTTGTGAATTGTTATGAAGATGAGAAAGCATAGGACAGATGAACATAAATGATGACAGTAACTCTTCTTCTATATGGGTAGATAATTATTCTTACAGTCTCCAATGTTCAAGATTCAAAGTCATTACGAAATAAGAAATAGGGTGGTATTGATGACTAACAACTAGTGGTTCTTCCAGTTCAATCAAGCTGGTTCTCCATGTTACATCAAGAACTATCTTATGATACTTTTAAGTACAAATAAAAAGCTGATTTTTTTTAACATCTGCATATATCCTTGACTTTTAAACAGAATTCAGGTGAAGGCAGATGTAGGGGTTTTTTTAAAACTTTTTTTACTCATATCTATGAAGTTATATTGCTAGGGAAAAATTAAATTGGTTCTGTTTTTGTTAATAGAATCATCTTCATTCCTTTATTCAATAGGTTTTGTCTATTATATTACATTAAATTATAATTGTTTTAATAAAATAACTGCTACTTCTTTTAAGAAAAAAAATTAGAACTCTCTAGTCCACTAAGTAGGTCCATTGTTCTAGGAACTAAGGTTTAATATTTTTTAAAAAATATTTGTTATGGAAAATTGAATTTTTCCAAAAAAATCCACAAATGTTTGTGTATTCTTTCTATTTATGGAATCCATTAATTTTAAAATAAATTGTGACAAGCAGAAATTATTTTAATGGAACAGGAGAATCTGATGTGAATGTGTTAGAGAAAAATAGCCTCAATGTCTGAGCTAGAGAAAATAAGAGTAAATCACTAGGTTGGTTTTGCTTTTTGTTTGTTTTTGCTTTTTTTTTGTCCTTTAAAATTCTCATTAAATTTTTCAAATTTGACTTTTCTAAAAAAATTACTCTCTTCTTTATTTCAGCATTAGTTTCAAGAAATAGAATATTTGAGTTTTTTAGAATTTTTTCAAGAGTCAAATTACATTTGAAATGAAAATTTCTTTTCCAAGGAATTTTCCAAGGTTTTATAGGTATACAGAGGAATGATTTAAGTTTTACAATAATATCAGTATATCTACCTTGGACAAAATCTCTGACATCTCAAAACCTTTGAGAAATACAGAATTTTCTACCTAATGGTTGGTGTTTAAAAGTGGATTTTAGTTGTATTTTTCTTTCCTTCTTTTTTAAAAAATCTAGTTCAGTTTCAAATGCTCTCTCTTCTTCCACCCCTCTCCCACCCATTGAGAAGGCCAGAAATATGATAAAGATTATTTTTGTATAAAAGATAAACTCAGTTTGCAATTAACATTCTTCAATGTCTGAAGGCTACATTTAGGATCACTATTTTATTTTTCCGAAACCTTAAATATTCCAAATAAAATCCTTCTTTTCTTCTACTGTGTTTAGGTCCTAGTAGGAATAATATGTAAGAGAACACAGTCGCATCCAATTGGGAAAAAAAGTTATTCAAGAAAAATTAGATCAGACATGGTTCATGGCTGTGAAACTGGTTTTTGCAGACTTCAGAGATACTGCTCTAAATAATAATGCTGCTACAAGTATCCAATGATTCCACTGATTATATATTGCCTCAAATTCACCTCTTAAAATTTTATCAACATGTCTGTAATTTGTGTATCTAAGGATTCAGTGTGATTCAGAGGAAAAAGTATTGACCTTGGGAGTAAGGTGATATGGGTCTAAACCTTAAAACTCCAGTAGCACCAACTCCAATCTTTCTTTGAAGGCCTGTTTTTATGTTCTGTGTGTGACTATTCCTACATCATTCTGCATAGTAGCACACACAGTATGGCCTAAAGACTGAACGCGACTAATGTGTACCAGAGAAGAGAAGAACAACTAGCAAATTGATAAATTAGGTTTCTGTGTATGTTTATATTAGAGGTTGATGGAGGAAAGACTCACAGCTTTGTCTCTTGTACCTCTTTCTCTATGTGCCTGATCACATTCTGGTTTGTTCTATGTTTATTTTTATGTATTGCATTTGTGAGTTTTAGCTCCTAGATTAAAACTCCTAGATTATAAAGCTAGGCAAGGGCCATGCGTTTTTTGTCTTTGTATTGCCTATAGACCTCTACTAAAGTCATACTTTGATGAATCATTTGACTTGGAGATCACCCATGGTTCTTGAATGCTATTGTATTAGATCATAAGCTCTAGAAGACTGCAGCCCTTTGAGTATAGAGTTAGTGATGCCTGTGTTCCAAGGGTCAGACTTGGATAACTTTGGAAAAGATTAGCTCATCATTAAAAAGTTGCTTGCCAGGTAGTGAGTTATTTTAGTGCAGAGATGTACCATGAATACATAGGCTATTTTAGTGTTTGTGTAGGGTTTGCCATGTATGTTGATTGGAACAAATACTGACCTTTATGAAATCATAAATATTTTGATTCTACAAGAATTCCCCCCATGACAAATATCAAATAGTGGGCACTATATATAAATGTTAACTGAATAAAAAATAATCACTTGTCAGGTTAAGATTCTGTGCTGTTTCAATCATAGGCAATGGAATATATGAAAGTTTTGCTTGTGAAATATAAATTGTGAAATTTAGTGACTTTTATGGGAAATTGATTACATTGGGATTTACTAATATCCACCAAGTTAATTAAGGCAGAAGGTCTCACAAAACAATATAAACAGAATTTTAATTAATCCATGGGTTAACTTTTCTTTGCTGCAGTAGATATTACCCAGTATTAGCCTTTAAAGCTTACATATGTATATATTTATATATGTATGTGTATTTGTATGTTTCTATCATTTGTGTTTTTAACAACTTTGTCTGTTTTGCATTCTCCAATAGCTTGTAATCTTCTTGAGGAATAGAATTACTTTCTTTATAACACTTTGATATTTCCAAGATTGTGAAACCAGTTCTTTTTTATTACTGCAGAGTGATTGATGGACGAGATCTAATGCCGTTATTGAAGGGAGAAATTCGACACTCAGAGCATGAATTCTTGTACCACTACTGTGGCCCATTTTTACATGCTGCACGGTGGCACCCAAAGAACAGTGAGTATAAAATATGCATGTAGTGGGAAATAGGCTAAAATAGTATCAGAATTCTACTCCTAGTCTTGGATATGTGACCTTGACTATGTTATTTATCCTCTTTGGGCCAGTTTTTAATTTTTTTTCTCTTCAGAAAAAAACAAACAAACAAAGGGATAGGGTTGGTTGACCTTTGAAATCCTGACCAGTCTGAACATCATATGTGTTACCTGATGCAATCCAACAATAAGATGTGTGATAATTTTTTTCTAAACTTCATACTTTTCTTAAAGTCACTACAATTAGTCCTAGATGTAGGGAATATTTTAAAGCAATATTTACTTTGAGGAATGGATCAAATCAATGTCATTTTGAGAGAAAACAAGAAGAAAAAAGGGTTGTAGTTTTGTATCAAAGGGTTATTACCTCAAAGAAGAACATGACAGCATCATTTCCTAAGAGTGAAGAGATGATCAGCTTATCAGTTTTGGAAAGGAGATATGTGAAAAAATTACTGTACTATAGACAAAAGACTAGCAGTGTCATACCTGAGAAAATGGGGAAGGTTTTAGATATGATGTAGTTTCTCTAACACAATATATGTGTTTTTTCCCCCTTGACTTTTAGGTGATGCTGTTTGGAAGGTCCATTTTGTGACTCCAGATTTCCAACCCAAAGGGGCAATAGGTTGCTATGATATCTTATTTTGCCAATGTTTAGGGGAAAATGTTACACATCACGATCCACCTTTGTTGTTTGAACTCTCAAGGGATCCTTCTGAATCTAAGCCCCTTTCCCCAGACAATGAACCCATGTATGATACAGTGATAAAAACAGTAAAAAGAGCAGTGAAGAAGTTTCAAAAGACACTGAAACCTGTCCCAGAGCAACTTACTTTGTATAACAAGGATCTAGTATGGTTGAGGCCATGCTGTGGTGTTTTCCCATTCTGTCTGTGTGATAAGCAAGTTGGAAATTTTACTATGTGATTATATCTAAAAATATGATAATATGCTTCCCATTAAAAACTGCTTCTTCCCAAATTTTATTGACTGAAGATTAGCCTTCCAGTAAAGTTATGATTTAGTCAATAGCTTTAGTATTCAGGAGCAGCACAATACAATGGACAGAGTGCCCAATTTGGATTTAGAGACTCATTGGGTTCCTATTTCAGGAACTACATGTATGAGCTTAGTCATATGTCTTAACCTTTCTAAGCCTCAATTTCTATATCTACAAAATGAACAAGTTAAACTACATGTCCTTTAAGGACCCTTCTGTATTGAAATAAATGATCTCACGATCATGTGACTTTCTGTTCATTCACTGACACTTTTGGAACCTGACTCGTGAATGGCCATTAGGCCATTTTGCTTTCTCAGAAATGTGATGAATTCAAAAGGGGCAAGAATTTCTAGTTGTTTTGTGTGTGTGTATGTGTGTGTGTGTGTGTGTGTGTGTGTGTGTGTGTGTGTGTGTGTGTGCGTCCTCTGCAAAATACTAATCCATACATAACTGTAGGAAGTTTTAAGATTGAATTAAGGGAGAGTCAATCAAAAAGCAAGAAGCAAACACTATTACTACAAAATATTTAAAGGAATTAAAGAAAATCAACACCAATTCCAAGTCCTCTTCCAAATGACTGAGAGTACCACCTTCCCCCCAAAAGTATCTAACATATGCAATGCAAAATTGGTCTTAGAAAAGTATGATTATTCCAAAGCAATGTTAGGAAATAATAATGTTACTAAGAAATTAGGATGCCAGAAGTACTTTGATGCAATTAGGTTTCTTCCATGGAGAGGTGGGCAGTTTCATTGATATTAACGTGGGTAGCATAAGTTTCCATTTCTGGGGCTATTTCAATTCATGTAGTTGCTTTACTGTGGACAAAGGGATTTTCTTTCAGGAAGGGGAGAGAGGGAAAGAACTGTTGGTATCTACTGAGAACAAGAAGGAACAAAGGGTGCATATTGAATCATTTCTTCTTCTAACTCTTTTAAGTTGTCAAAATCAACTTTAGTTTGTCCTGAATGTTTTCTATTATTTTTTCTTCAATACAGTTGGGTTAAGACGAGAAGGAACCACCAACCTAGTTAATTAAAAGATGAAGAAATGAGAATCCAGTCAGGGAAAGTAATTTCTTCAAGGACACACAATTAGTAAGTGGCTAAAGCAGGACTAAGGTGTAGGAGTAAGACATATACTCTTGAATATAGCATTTAGTTGTTTAGCAGCACTATGATTTAGTAGAAAAAGCATAAATCTGGATCTGGCATTTAGTCTCATCTCTGTCATTAACAAGTGGCTGTGTTATCTTGGGCAAAGCAATATGTGAAGAAACTGTGGGGTATAATCAAATGGAAACAACTCTTGAGTCAGAAGACCTGGGTTCATTTTCCGCCTGTCATACTTCCTGTGTAATTTTGGAAAAGTCATTAAACCTTCCTGGGCTTGTTTCCTCATTTCTAAAAATTAAAAAGTTGGACTGGATGGTCTCTGAGCTTCTTTTCTAGCTCTCAGGCTATAATGATACTTTTGGAGCTCCAATTTCTCATCTGTAAAATGAGGTGGTAGAAAAAAGATGATCTCTTTGTGGCCTGTCCAGATAATTATTGAATGATTGATTTTTAGGCATATGAACAAAAATATTTTCAAATATTAATTCTCAAATAAATCAATAATTACTCCATTAAAATAAGTTAATGCTATTTTAAACTTTTGTAATATTTTCCACTGCTGTCTTATATTATCTCCTCTTAACTAAAAAATAAACATGGAATTTCATTATTATTAGTTTATCCCATCCATATAATGAAAGTATGAAATGTTTTCTTCATTTAATGTAAGTTCTGATTACTTCTGCTTATTACAATGCTATGTGATTTACACAACTAGACATGTTTTAACTAACTTTAATTTTACCACTAGAGGGCACAATGGTACAGCCTAGTAGAGGGAAATTGTTAAAGAATTACAGAATTTAGTTGTTTTGTTTGTTTGTTTTCACTAGGAGCATACATTTAAATTACAACCTCCTGAAACAAAGTTTTGCAAAAAACCCTTCCATGCCTTCACCCATTTCATGAAATGTTTTTGTGTATTCTGGTGGAATACCTGAGACCCATGGAGAGATATTTAAGGTGTGGTTAAAAGAATGAGGGATTTAAAGACAAAGGATTAAGTGCCTAAGTAGGAATCCTGGCATTGTCACTAACTAACAATGTGACACTGAATACATCAGTTCACCTCTCTGATAACCAGTTTCTTCATTTTTAAGTACAACAGGTTTAGAAAGGATGATAGCTAGGATTCTTTTAAACTCAAAAACCTATGAGCTATAATTAATTCTCACCCATCTCTAAGCAAATAAAAAGATGTTGGCTTATGATAAGGAAGAATTTCAGTCAGCCTCTTGCCTCTCAACTAGTTACCAAACTCCCCAGAAAAATGTGATCCCACTTTTATATGGTGTGAAAAGCATATCCTGAGGCCCCACAATACACAAGAACAAGGTATCCATAAGAAGAAGGGGTGATATTGAGATTTCTGATAGCTTACTTTTCTCAGTAGACCTCTATTTATCCTTTCCAACTCTATCTGGATTAATTCTCCAAAGTTATTATGCTCCACCTCCCTCTAGTGTCCCACACTGCAAACACACACACATATTCACATACATATATGTACATATACACTATGCATATATATAATCCCAAACATAATAGGAATTTTATATGTCATGGACACAGAAGTAGAACATTTGCAAGTGATGACAAGATGAAGGCTAAGACCATTGCTACATGTAAGCAGAGGAGTATGTCAAGGGGGCTGAAAAGATTGAGGAACTGAGAAGTTAACGATGGAATGTGTTTTGATGATGAAGTGTTTGATGGAATACATACATATACATGCATGTTTTTATGTATTTCATCAAACACACAAAGATATATAATATATATATAATGTGCCTAATTGTATATACAATATAGCTATCTACATCTGTATATATGTGCGTCTGTATATATATATGTATATATATGTATATATATATATGAATACATATATAATATATATATATGTATATATATGTATATATATATTATTAATACATATATAAATATGGAGAGAGAATATATATTTCTCATCTATAAGTATATATATGTATATGTATATATATATATATATACACACACACTTAAACATCCTATATAGGCTATGTGTATATATTATGTATGTATGCATGTATCTATGTGTGTGTATACATTTATATAATATTACATATATTCCATTAAATATCTTATTTCATCAAGTATCTTATTCTAGCTTCTCAGTTCTACAATCTGTTTATCTCCTATGGCCTACTTCTTTACTCCTAAACTTACATGTAGGAATGGTCATGACCATCATCTTTCCATCATTCACAAGTGTTCCACTTCCATATTCATGATCTGTGAAATTCCTATTTCTTTCTTTCTTTCTTTCTTTCTTTTTTTTTTTTTTGGCTAGGCAATGGGGTTAAGTGACTTGCTGAAAGTCACACAGCTAGTGTCACGTGTCTGAGGCTGTATTTGAACTCAAGTCCTCCTGCCTCCAGGGCCAGTGCTCTATCTACTGCGCCACCTAGCTTCCCCAAAATTCGTATTTCTTATAATCATTTTTCATTACATCTTTCCTATGCCTGGCGATCCCTGACCCAATTCTTTTTTCTCACCATAACCTCTAATCCCTCTATCTCCCAATACTTTCCATGGCCATTACTCCTGCTCTTGCTCTATTCTTTCTTTCCAATTGCTAGCCCTTTTCAAACTATTTCAATATACTATACTATACTATACTATACTATACTATACTATACTATACTATCATATGCTCTCAAAATTGCTCCCACTTTGTCATATCACCAATCACATCCACTTCCCACCCATGAATTCTCCTACCAATCAACTTCCTTTGTCTTTATTAACATGTAACAGGAAATAACAAAAGCACATTGCCTTAGTCCACTACAAAATTTATAGCATGTAATCTCATTTGGGCTTTCATGGGAGCAAGGCAATCCATCTAGTCCTTCCTAATCAATTCTTTATCGCACTCCCCAGAGCATGTTTTCCAAGCTCCTCCTCTCTCTTCAAACCTGCCACCACATCCCCTCCTTTTATACTCTCTGCTGAGAATCTCACTTCATACTCCATAAAAAAATGAGGTCATTCACCCAGAGCTCCCCAATTTTCTCTTTTCCCTATCTTATATTCCCCTGATATCATTCCTTCCATCTTCTTCATTTCAGTCTCTAATGAGGAAATGGTTTTTTCTTTGTCAATGCATATCCTATATGCAACCTTGGTAATTTATCCTTCCATCTTCTCCAGCAGATTTCCTTCCATTTTCATTATGCTGTTTTTTTTTTATCTTCAATCTCTCTTTATCTGCTGGTTCTTTCCTAATTGCTTTTAAAAATGCCCATACCTCACCCAACCTTAATAAAACTCTCACTAGATCCCATTTTTTCTTCAAATTATTACCATCTATCTCTCCTCCCATTCTAAGATAAACCCTTTGGAAGAAGGCATCAATACTTGGTGCCTCCATTTCTTCTCCTTTCATTGTCTTCTAAACTCTCTCTGAACTCATTTCTGATTTCACCATGCAATTAAAACTGCTTTCTGCACAGTTACTAATGATCTCAATGGCCAAATCAAATGGCCTTTTCATTTTATTAACTTAAATTTTTTTTTCTCAGCATTTAACGCTATTAATCATCTTCTCTTTGATTAATTCTCCTCCATGGGTTTTCATAATGCTGACTTATCTTTATTTCTCCTCCTACCTGTCGGACTAATATTTAGTCTCCTTTGCTGGTTCTTCATTCACATCATGGAAATTTACTATGGGTATTCCCAAGGATCTGTCCCGGTGCTGCTGTCTTTTTTTCCCTCTACATTATTTCTCATTAACTCCAATAGGTTCGACTTTCTTCTCTATCAATAAATCAAACAATAAGTATCTATTGTTTACTGTGTGTCAGGTACTGTGCTAAGTGCTGGGGACAGAATCACAAAGATTGTAACAATCCTTGCTCTTAATGAGCTTGTGAGGAGAAATTAACAAGTACTTATATAAGCATATATCAAAAATATAAAGAGAACAAATGCAAAGTAGTTAATCACAAATAAGTTTGGGAATCCAAGCACTAATAGTTGGAAGGATCAGGAAATACCCTATGAAAAAGGTGCTTCATATTGAAGGAAGAAAGGTATTTCACACGTATATATGTGATATATTTATGATACATGATATATATATGTAGA